TGGTATCAAACGGCTCGGAGAGGTCCTTCCCTATTCTGACGGAGCTGGTGGTATTGCTCAACGTCATTTTACACAGCCGTATTAGTTTCGCGGGGATACCAAATTCAGACATCGCGGCATAAAGGCAACTTCTCTTCGTGCTGTCGAAAGCGGCTTTGAAATCGACAAATAGATGGTGTGTGTCGATCCTATTCTCGCGGGTCTTTTCCAAGATTTGGCGTATTGTGAATACCTGATCTATGGTGGATTTTCCAGGCCTAAAGCCACACTGATAAGGTCCAATCAGCTCGTTGACGGTGGGCTTCAGTATTTCGCACTTCTAGAGGTATATCACCAGAAAATACTGAAAATTCGCTTCAGTTAATATCAATGGATGAGTGGAAGATCTACCTATCTCGGCAGCCAGCTAGAATACGCTCTATCTCAGAAAATTTTTTCCGAATTTTATTGAAAAACACCCTATCGCATAATTTTGCTGAAGAACGGCGCATCTCAGAATTCGGTTCAAGAAAGCCCTATCTCAAACGAAAATACATTTCATTTTCATGTAAAAAAATCAGTACTTTGCAGTACATTTTTATTCAAAGCAAAATTGTGAATGTAAGTAACAGAAAATACTTTAAAACGCCAGAGCTCTGGTTTTCAACAATATTTTGGTATATAAATAAATTATAGTTCATAAAAAATAAAAATGTTATTAATTTTAACATTAGTGTACACATCATTATAAACAGGAGCCAATAAACTATTTCATATTTAAATATGACATTTTTGAATGGCCATAATGAGATCATTCCCATTTTCAGTGTTAAAGTAGTCAAATAATTCTATACATTTCATTTTAAAATTAATTTTAATTTGAAGTTCGCTTTCAAAATATTTAATTAGAAGTCGGTTTCTCTCTTTGCGCCAGGAAACAAACTGTATACTTAAGATCCTCTCAGTTGCTTCGTTCGAGTGTGGTATTGAAAAAAACAAAATTAAATATTTTTTTTTAACGGTGAAAAAGTACCAATTTTTAAGGACTCCATTTATATTTCCTCACGGCTTAAATAATTTTTTCAACTACGCAAAAACTTTGAAAGACTAAGGATTGGCTAAACAGATTATCTAACTCTACATGTGTCTTTCATTAAAAACTCCTTTACACTGTCAATAAATTGAGAAAAAAGGGTTGCAAGTTATAGACAAAAGTCATTCGAATATTCAAATTTGTTATTAAACTGAAAGTTATTTTTGAGATAACTAACAACACTCGACAAAAAAAGGTCAGCCTTCTTTATAAATAATTTAAGCTCCATCATATTATCGCAATTGATACGTGGCCTCGGCCACATGCCCATAAAAGGATTGATCTTTTTGCTGTATTAATTTCTTGGGCATTTCAAACATTATCTAAAACATGTCAACTATAATTAAATTATTTTCTTCTTACTTTTTACAGTTCAGTTTAAGGAAGTTCCATTTTATGTAAAGACCTTAAGATAATCCTAAAGTATTTTGTTTGAATTGAAAATTCAGTACAAATAAGTACGAATTTTGAAAAATCAGGACATTAGCGTACTGATTGAAGAAATGAATAAAATCAGTACAAGAGTTGAAAAATCAGTACTGTACTGACAAAATCAGTACGTCCTGCAACCGTAGCTGAAATAGGGCGTTTTTGAACCTAATTCTGAGATAGGGTGTTCTTTAATAAAATTCTAAAATAAGGCGTTCTTTTCTGAGATAGGGCGTTTTCGAACTGGCTGCCGAGATAGGTCGATGATCTTCCACTCAGCCATCGATATGCTCTTTAAAATACATTTATACAAGTTTTATGTACAGTATGTAATAAATAAATAAACTTTTTAAAGTTTCATAAATTGCACTTTATTTACATACAACTGACAAAGGCCTCAAAAATTTTTCACCGACCTTAAAAAAGGGGGAGGTTATCAATTCGTCGAAATATTTTTATCTTTTTTGTGTGTGCTACCGCATAACTTTGGACCACGTAAACCGATAACCGTAAAGTGGATGGACCTACAGTTTTACGCCGACTCCGAACGGCGATTGTGTTTTTATGAGAAGCTGTTTTTCATGGCATAAATACACTCGGAGGTTTACCATTGCCTGCCGAAGGACGACCGCTGTTAAGGAAAAACCTTTTCTCTATANGGTTTGCCATTGCCTGCCGAAGGACGACCGCTGTTAAGGAAAAACCTTTTCTCTATATTTTTTTTATGCGATGTTACTTTGGCCAGCGCTTGAACCCAGGCCCCGCGGAGTGGAAGCGCGCACTGCTAACCACTATACCACAGCGGCCGTCAGATCCGCTCATTGGATCCTGAAATTAATGGTACTCCTAAATTTATATGTGAGAATTTAAGTGGGTTGTGTTTTTTGCTTGAAAATTACATTTTTAATAAAAAGTTCTATAAACACAAGATTAAGATTTAAGATTAACGTTCATTTCTTCATGATGCAATGATCGGATCTAAAGCAAATTAGTATGGGACCACCTTTGAGGTAACACATTTCCTTTAAAAAAATAATTATAGAAATCGGTGAACATGGTCCAAGGTTATGCGGTAACATAGATAAATATATATATATACTAGATCGCCCTCACCCGCTTCGCTGAGTGTATGAAATTTCAAAGTGCTACATTGAGTAAAATTTATTTCAAGAAAACTCACTTAAAAAACAGGAGGTTTAAAATTTGTTTAACCATCTTCAAAATTTTTTCAAACTAAAACTTTCTTAAAGCTTCATTCGGAGACACCAGGGTTGAGTTGGGCTGGGATAAATCTCAAATCACCGCCGATAAATCAACTGCCAGAACCATTGCGCACCTTTTACTGTTATATTTAATTTAATATAATTGAATTTAATTTTTGAAAAGGTGGCAACCCTTGTGAAAGACTTAAATATTATTCGAACTAAAGGTTTGTTAACAATATTTCGTTAGACAACCATATTTTAATTCTTTAGATAGCTTGCGTATAATTAATTTAAATTTGACTTGTCAAATAAGTGGCAACCCTTTTCAAAATATATTCGAGATACAGCTTTTTTAAACCTCGACACCCATTTTTTAATATAATTTTCAAATAAATAGCTCCCTTAGTTGAAGTTGAATTTTGATTATTTTAAAAGGTGGCAGCCCTCATCCATGAGTAGACAATGATTTTATATATCTCCATTCCAAGTTCCAGTAATCTATTGTGGCGCACGCAATCGAACTTGACCAGCAATCTTAAATAGCAAACTAATCCGTCGGAAATGCAACCCTGCACCTACATAGATGTTTGCTGTGGCGGAACACTGTTTTATGACAGCATCTTTTTCCACCTTCTTCTTTCGTTTTTCCTCACGTCGACGAGATCGCGAGCCAGCCGAAAAACTAAAATTTCGTTATTATAAATTATTTGTAAGAAATAAATATAGTAGTGACACATTAAATTTGTTTTTTCTTTCGCGCGAGACCACATATATTGGTGACCCCGACGAACAACATGCCGGATGAAGGAGAATTAAAGGAGAGTCCCGAGCAGACGACAACGCAGGCCATACCTTTTATGCCTGCAGTATTGCCCGGAGCAACAAATGGCAACGAAATATCACGTGTCACCGTGAAAATTCCGCCATTTTGGCATGCGAAGCCCGAATTGTGGTTGGCGCAGGTGGAGTCGCAATTTGTTGCTGCGGGAATCAGCAGCGACCGGTCGAAATATCACACAGTGGTAGCCGCTATAGAAAGCGGCGTACTCGCGCAAATTAGTGACTTAATACTACATCCACCATCTAGCGATATGTACCAAACATTAAAAAAGCGTATTCTAGAGCAATTTTCGGATTCGGAACAAAAACGAATCAAGAACTTGTTGCAAGACCTTGAACTAGGTGACATGAGGCCGTCACATTTGCTACGTGAAATGCGTCTGCTGCCAGGTACTGAAATAAACGACAGCATGCTGAGATCGATTTGGCTTAGCAGATTGCCACAGAACGTGCGCTCCATCATATCTATTAGTAACGAGCCGCTTGACAAGGTTGCTTTGTTGGCAGATAAAATTATTGAGGTTAGCGACGGCCCGCAGATACACGCGGTAGCAGCACGAAGCGACGACGGGCAGTCTGAAATTTTTCGGAAGATGGCGGCGCTAACAAAAGAGGTAGCCGAACCGAAAGCTAAGCTTCAACAGCGTGGTAGGCAAACACGTCGGTCGGCCTCCCGAGGACGCTCATGTACACCCAACAAAGGCGACAGCATTTGATGGTACCATAAAAAATTCGGCGAAAAAGCAACCAAATGCCGATCCCCCTGCTCACATTCTTTAAACTAAAACCCCTGGCACAAACGCGGTACGTGACAGGGTCTCTTCTAAAAACCGTTGTCTTTTGATAGTCGACCGAGATAGCAAGATGCAATTTTTAGTAGACACGGGGGCAGAGGTTAGCGTCATACCTCCAACAGCGGAACTGCGCAGACATCCAAATCCGAAAGTATTCCTGTATGCTGCCAATAAGACGACCATAAAAACTTACGGAGAACGCGTAATGTATTTAAACCTTGGTTTGAGAAGAAAATTCCAATGGAAGTTTATCGTAGCTGACGTTTCGCAGCCCATTGTAGGAGCAGACTTCCTGGCACACTTTCAACTTCTGGTCGACTTGCATCAGCGCAAACTTGTTGATAGCTCAACGAACGTATCGCAAAGTTATCAACAGTGATATGCCTTTTCAGGACCTACTGCGAGAGTTTAAGGACCTTGCGCTGACAAACGTACCACCAAAAAATATAACACACGACGTCACGCATCACATAATAACTAAAGGACCACCGATTTTTTCTAAGCCCAGGCGTTTGGCACCCGACAAACTGAAGGCAGCGAAGGCGGAAATTCAAACACTTCTAGACGCTGGTATTTGCCGCCCGTCGCGGAGCCCGTGGGCAAGCCCGCTACATATGATGCGAAAAAAAAATGGCGAATGGAGGCCGTGCGGAGATTTTAGGCGATTGAACAGCGTTACGGAACCCGATCGGTACCCGATACCGCATCTTCACGATTTCACACATAACTTGCACGGCTGCACTGTTTTTTCAACTATAGACTTGCTTCGCGCATACCATCAACTACCAGTAGAGCCGGCTGACATACCAAAAACAGCAATAACGACGCCGTTTGGTATGTTTGAATTTGTTTTTATGTGTTTTGGACTTCGCAACGCAAGTCAAACCTTTCAACGGTTTATGGACCACGCCTTGCGAGACTTGGATTTCGCATGGTCGTACCTAGACGACATTCTAGTGGCATCGAAAAACGAGGACCAGCATCGACAACACCTTCGCGCCGTATTTGAAAGATTGCGTGAGTATAATGTGATTATAAACCCAAGTAAGTGCGTTTTTGGGAAGCCAGAGGTATTGTTTTGGGGCTATATAGTCAGCAAAGACGGAGTAAAGCCTCCAGCTGATAGGGTTAAGGCTATTAACAATTTTGAGTTGCCCAAACGAGTTTGCGATCTGAGGCGTTTTATGGGCATGCTCAACTATTTTCGACGTTTTTTGCCAAAAGCAGCGATAAGCCAAGGCGTACTTTCAGGACTGATTAAAGGCAACAAAAAGAACGATGCCACGAAAATTGAGTGGAACGATGACACTGTTAAAGCTTTTCAGCAGTGCAAAAGAGAACTTGCTGAGGCAACCTCGCTGGTATTCCCTAAGACAGGAGCACCCATGTCACTTACAGTAGACGCCTCTAGTACTGCCTTTGGTGCCGTTCTGCAACAGCAAGACGGAAACGTCTGACAACCACTGGGTTTCTACTCAGAGCGTCTCACATCGACACAACAGCGCTTCAGTACGTACGACCGGGAATTGTTAGGTGCGTACAAGGCTGTAAAATATTTTCAGCATATGCTTGAAGGTCAAAGTTTTTGCTTATTTACGGACCACAAGCCTCTTCAGTTTGCGTTTCAGCAGAAACTGGAAAAAGCTTCGCCAAGGCAAGTAAGGTATCTCGATTTTCTGAGCCAATTTACAACCGACATCCGCTATCTACCGGGGAAAGACAACATAATCGCAGATGCCCTATCACGCATTGAAGCAATACATGTCGAACATCTTATTGACTACAGTAAATTAGCAGAAAGTCAACGCACTGATCACGAGCTTCAGCAACTTTTAACGAAGAACACGTCAAGCTTGGATTAAGATACGTCCATTTCTAACACAGCCTTTCGTAAAATTGGCTTTATGGCAATGCATAATATTTGCCATTGCGGAGCAGCGAAAACGATCAAACTAGTCGCTGAAAAGTACACGTGGCCTAACCTCAGAAAGGACTGTCGTCAATGGACCAAAACGTGTATGGCATGCCAAAAAGCGAAGGTGCATCGCCACAACAGAGCGCCATTGTCTACTTACACCCTGGCAAATAGTCGTTTTGAACACGTCAACATTGATATAATCGGACCTTTGCCGCCTAATAGAGGTTTTCGTTATTGCCTTACGTGCATCGATCGTTACACGCGATGGGTAGAGGCATACCCCGTAGAAGATATTACGGCAGAGTCGATAGAACACGCGTTTTATTCAAATTGGATCAGCAGATTTGGCGTTCCTCTTCGAGTCTCTACGGATCAAGGACGTCAGTTCGAATCATCGCTGTTCCGGGAACTTAGCAATATTNCGGGTCGACATAATTCCTTTTATATTATTGGGTTATCAAACGGCGTACAAAGAAGATTGAAAGTCAACACCAACAGAGATGGTATATGGAGGCTCGCTTCGCTTGTCAGGTGAGTTTTTGCAAATATCTTGGAAAAGCAATGAGGTTTCCGAACAATATTTTGTAACGTATCTTCGTTATAAAATGCGTAAACTTAAACCGTCACAAACGACAAACCACTCACGACCATCCCCATTCATCGAGACCGATTTGATGACTACTCCAGCGGTTTTCATAAGGACAGACAGCGTTCGCTGGCCGCTCCAACCGCCATATGAAGGCCCCTTTCCGGTTATAAAATGAAACGAAAAATATTTTAAGCTCGATATTCAAGGAAAACATGTGAATATAAGCATTGATCGGTTGAAAGCTGCACACATAATCAATGACAATGTGACCCCATCTTCGGTAACGGCGCCCAACGAATATCCAACACGGGCTGGACGAAGAGTACGTTTTCGCATTACTTAGAAGGGGGAGTGATGTGGCGCACGCAATCAAACTTGACCAGCAATCTTAAATAGCAAACTAATCCGTCGGAAATAAAACCCTGCACCTAAATAGATGTTTGCAGTGGCGGAACACTGTTTTATGACAGTTTCTTTTTCCACCTTTTTCTTTTGT